ATACAAACTGAAGATAATAATGGACACTCTTGGAGCGAAGATGAGAAATTCAAATTTCCACACTTAAAATACAGGTATAGGGAGTTTACCACGTGATTTCTGGGGATCTAGCATCCCCGATAATGAACGATTCGTTTTAATCTTAAGGAGAGTGCTTTTCATCATATCAGACATTGTTTGAAACCTTGTTTGTGTGAGAGTAAAGGTCCATGATAACATCTGTTGAATAGTACTTTTATGATCTGTTAACCAGCATTCACCAAATTTCAAATGACATTTATGTTCTACGTTAACAGTTTGGACGATACACCTTTTCGAAAATATGATTGTTTACATTCTCAACAGGAAACACATTGTTAATCAATAAAAAAATTGTTGACAATAACAATACCCAATAGGGACAAAAATATGCATATTTTTACCATTTTTTTACATAGCAAAATTTCACAAAGAAATTACAACTAATAGACTAAAAAACGAGTTATAAACACTTATGTTTGAATCCGTTTGGACATATTTGAAATTTATACAATACAGTGTTCTGACTCTTGAAAAGTATTATCATAAACACATGCAGTAACCAATGGAGTTCAACCAGGTCTGTTGGGAGATATCAATTCACTGAAGACATTAGTGAATGGTTGCTCGATTTCGTGGATCGGTTGAAATTAGACATCAACACCGTTGGATGCCGGCTGGCTCAGTGGTCTGGTGGTTAAGCGCTTGCACTCGAGACTGGTAGGTCCTAGGTTCGAATCTCGCAAGGCGGGATCGTGGATGCGCGCTTCTGAGGAGTCCCATACTAGGACGAGATGGCCATTCAGTGCTTCCAGGTTTCCCATGGCGATTTCAACCATATAAAATTACTAAAATCTCCACATGTTGCTATATTTATCGAAAAATAAGCTAACAAATAGTTTCTTCTCATTTTTTTTCCTATTTATGTTTCAGTGATATATGAGTAAATAGGTCAATAACATAACGTATATCCCTACTATTGTTGTCATTACAGATGTAGAAATCGAACCCAGAACCTTCAAAAACCAGTGGGAAAACTTTTAGGTTGGAGTTTAATAACCCATATTCTCAGTGTTTTTGTACCTTCTACATTTCACTTGTCTAAATAAGAATATTCACTCAATAACAACTCTATGTCGACATTGTACGTAAGTGTTCTTTTTCTTAAGTTATGCAGAGAGAGAGCAACAAGTAATTGAAAGTGTAAGAATTACCAAAATTTATGAGGTATAAATGAAGTACTTATGTGTCCTATCATTCATTTCTACATCTATGTATACGTAGTTCATTATTTATTGACGTTTTCCCAACATCTTATGTGCTTATTCAACCATGTTGTATAAGGTAAATAATAATGGTGACAAAACCAATAACCGAGAGAAATAAAACCAAGTTGGGTTTTTTTCATATATATGTTTATATTTTACTTACATTCCATTTCTCATGTGTGTGTGTGTGTGCAGTTCATCATTTGGATTAGAATGACTGAGTGATTACTCTATATAGTGATGATGATGATGATGATTCAATTTTTTTATCGGTCAGCGACTGTTGTTATTGTGTTCTTACATCATTGAAACGCTTTTTTCATTTCATCATGAAATCTAAATGATGATTAGTGTTTCTTTTTCAGTTTTAATTATCACTCTAATTGAGGTTGTCACACGTTTTTTTTCCATACACACGCGACACACACAAGTAATTTTTAGAAAACTCGAGGAGAGAGATATACGTATACAAAATATTTTGTAGGTTAATTGAGGTCAATATATACTTACAAATATATTTGGACATTGATCATTATTTATTCTTTTATCGTGTCAACGCTTTACTTCTTTTTTTTCTTATCGACGCGTGATTATGAATAGATGATAATTTTTATCTTTAGGTGAGGATTAGTTGTGCACAGAAAATCAGGTGTGTATGTGTGTTTTTTTTAATCGAATAGTTTTATTATTATCATTATTTATTGTTACTATGACATTTCATTATTGGAAAAACTTTTTGACTTCTTATTTAATCTTAGATTAGTATTAATGGTTCGGAGTTGCTGGATTACTGATGATAATCTCTGGAAGTTTGATATCGATTCATATATAACTGTTGTTTTAGCCCATACGATTATGTATGTTGTAGTTAACGTGTTTATGCATGGATCAAGTAAATCATTTTATTTTTATGGTTCAAATCACAAAATGATTTTAGCTAGATCACCATTGAGAATCCTGAAACATTGAACGACCGTTTTGTCCTAGTGCGGGACTCCTCAGTAGTGCATATCTATGACCTCGGATTTGGGAAACTGAACCTAGGACCTTTGGTTTAACACGCGAACGCTTAATCTCTAGATCATCGAGGCAGCTTCCAATGGTGTTAATGTGTAACTTCAATCAATTCACGATATTGCACAACCTTTATACATTGTCTGCGGTGGATAACTATCACACATATGACATTGTTGAACTCCACTGGTCGCGAGTTCTCACTAGAAATCTAGAAGTTGTATCTTAAAGCTAGTCACTGGTGAGGATATGATTATTTATTAACATAGAAAGATTTGTGGAGAATGTAGTTTAAATCACGAACTAATCTTGGCATAGGAATTTCATACTGAGACAAAACGGCCGTTTAATGCTACTAGTCTTTCAATGATAATCTAGCTACCATCAGTCCGTGATCTAAACTATGAAAATTCTACAATCCCCACAAAATCCCCCTGTGCTAAAAATAATTTTATTATTATCTGGACTCTTTTAAATATCAATAATGATCGGAAAGCAGTATATAGTTATTCAGATTGACTAGCTGGTTACTGGCTATAAATATTGCTTGCAACTAATTTCGAGGAACAATTCCTGGAATCCTAGATAGAAGCCGTCACTAATCAGTGGAGTTCAGTTATGTTGAATGTGAGCCAGTTACCCATTTCTTCCGAATTTTTAACAATGATTTAACTTTGATCAATTCATTATGTAAACTATTTTACTAGATTAGTTGTATTCAGTATAATCTTATTGACCTGAAATTTAGACACATTTTCATACTTTTGAATACCTCTGTAACATGATTGTTTAAACAGACTTATCATTGAATGTCTTGTATATCACTCACTTACATTTGAATTGTGTTTTTTCCGACTGTCTTCTCCTTCCTTTATGTTGATAGTTTTTCTCTTTGTTATTTATAATAAAAAAGAAACAAGTCGAAATAATGTTTTTCAATGACTCCAGTTACTAAATTAGTACAATAAGTCATAAGAATATTGATGAGATTTACTTTACACTTTTTATTATTCTAGTTACCATCCATTCAGATGAAATCACGTTTTATATTAATTATCATTTTTAAAATTTAATAACTGACTGTTAAGTTTACTTAAATAATTCCCAATCATAAAAAAAAATCGGTGAATAACTGGAGCATTTCATGCAAGTGCTAAATCACTCTACTCTCAATAGAACTTATCCGTCTTGGTATGGTGTGAAATTTTTAGGATAATAATAACAATGATCCAAATTATATTTGGAAAAGTCATTAAATTTGAATAGAACACAATAAGACAACCGAATGAAATATAGAGCTAATCTTATTATGTCTCACCAATGGATCTAATGAGTCATAGTATCGGAGAGCCCCGTTCAACAAACTCTACTGTTTTGTGGATTTATTAAGTGAATAATATTCAGAATAAACATGAAGTTTTTGTACAGTTGATCAAGACTAATTGAAATTATCTTCTGTGATGATAGCCTGTATAAAATTTGATATGCCGTAGGTTTGAGGTTAAGCGAAAGAAATATAATATTTGCTTGATCTAGAATTCAGACATTATAAATCTTCATAATTTTTGATATCTTAGATGGGTAGCCCCCAAATGCCCTGGTACGGCCGAGAGTGGGGAGAGTCTGCTCTCCCTATCGAAATGCTCCCATATGCTCCCATATATAGCCTCTGCCAGGGAAGTCCTACTCACTGCCTTCTCGCACCAGGGGTGTTGTTTACGAAATTTAGAGGACGAAAAGCGAATGTCCGACGCTTTAACCGGGTTGGTGGACACGGAAAGTCCACCTAGGGGAGTTGGAAAACCCTTATTCCAAACCGACGGTGCACATGGGCTCCAGTATCCTGAGGGAACAAATGGCGTACGAATCAATCGTTGGTGACCGGCTACCATGGGACTGCATCTCCTTAAGATGCTCCATTGTCTTGTGGACTAGACCTTTACGTCAAAGGCTCAGGATGTGGCCCCCTAAGAAAACAACCTGCTTCAGTCTGGGCACCTGAGCAGTATCACAGCCCTCACACAAATCAAATGAGATTTGTGAGGCGCATATTTATCTGGTGCTTCCTTGTACCAATATTCATGTGTTTAAATAAATAAATAATAAATAATATGGGTATAATTTAAATAAATGCATTTCAACCTTATCCATTTGGTGCTTACCTGTTTGTTGATGGATAAATTCCCAGTGTTTACACAAATCCATTCATTATTGATCTTTTTTCAAAATTATACTATACCACCGGAATGTGTCAACAGTATAGTCGTGAACACGTAAAAGGGCATATTTAAGGGGGCGGGTAAACCAATACCTCTCCGTTTCTTCATTCGTATTAAATTTCCAGTTGTTGTTGACATAATAGTAGTCTGATGATAGGATTTCAAAAATCAAAAAGATATTCAATTGATAGTGACTGAGTATATAGACGTTGGTATAGGTAAGATTTTATTTCCCAAATTTCTATAAACCACAAGTTTACTAATGAAATAACATTATTGAGATAAAAATCCATCATTTAAAGTATCTAAAAACATGTTTCCATTATTCACCAAATGTTATTACACAATGTGGCGAGTTTTTCCGTTTTCGATTTTAAAAGTGAAATGCCTCTCCAATGAAATTTTAATGAATGTAATTTAATAGTGCATTTATCTGAATTGATGTTCAGTTTTGTTTTTGTCAAATTCTATTATTTTTCAGTGTTCTATTCACTAATCAGTTTGGTAGTGATCAGTGATCTTATTGCCAATTACCTGTGTTCATCTGTTTTGGCATCGTCTAATTCAGGAGTCAGCTTTATTCAAAATGATTATGATCTAGATAAAACAAAATGTATACAATCACTTTTAGTCAATCGACATCAAATTCCAGACTCAGCGTTCAATGCTACAAGTGAAGTAGTGGATCCGTCAGGAGCTAAACGTTATAATGCGCATTCTATTCGGTAAGAATTCATGACTTATTTCTACGTGGTTGTTGAAATCTTTGTTCCTAATAGATATACATACAGTTCAGTATTAAATGATTTGAATAATGGTATCCACTGATCAGATGGAATATTCATTAATCATTACCATGATTAATTTATTTTCGTTCTTGACAAACGTCTTAAATGTATCATATAATCTGCTCCGTCCTCTATCTCTCGTGTGACAGTACAGGTGCCAACTCCAAAACCTTTTACTGTCATATCCTTTTTAATCGGAATATTTAATCTGTTTTAATCGATAAATTCTATAGTAAGAATGAAGTTTTTTTAAAAATTTTGATTGACGATTTCTTTCACCATATGTACACTAATAAGGATAGTTCCATCTTTTTTAAATTTAAATATAGTGCACGTATGACGTATGATATGCAGCGAAACCACTGACATTAAAAGTGTTTATTATCCGAAGTTTAACGATTTAGGACTTTGTGTTTATGATATTCACTTACGTTAACTGTATAAAAGTTCAAATAAAAACCAGTGTACGTAATATCTACCTTTTGTTCTTCATTTTATTCTATAGTTCTAATAAATTAAAATAATGTTTTTTTTTTCATAGTTTATCTAAGAAACTGAGGTTGGTTAAATAATCACTGGAAGCCGAGGATTATTGGACAGCTGTTTTACCCCAGTATGAGACTTCTCAACAGTTTACATTCACTATCCTACTAGAGATAGAACTTAATATCTTTAGGTCTCGTAGCCAGTGCTCAAGTTTGAAACGCCAAACCCCTTAATGCCGTCTCACTAGTCTAAAGTCCAAATGCTTAGCATGAGATTTGAAGGGTCTAAGTTTGATTCTACTGCTAGCTAAAACCCATTTATCCAACAAAATTTGCAACAAAATGGCTATATTGAAACAACTCACACAGGATGTACATATACCAAGAATAATCAAAATTCAGTTGCAAATATCAACAACGGAATAATTCAAACCCTTATAATGACTTAGATTACTTATTGTCTGATGAATAAATTCATAGAACAATCAGTAATGTTTAATTAACAAGGTACATTTGTCTGATGAAAATAATCCATAAATCAATTTCCCTTGATTTCATTTAATGTGCATTTTTTCTTCTTCTTCATCATTATTAATTGTTACTTTTATTTTGGGTTCATTATTTCCTTTTAGGAATGAAAACACAGATTTTGCATGGTGTCCAGGTAAACGTATCAGCACAGAATGTGATGAATATGTTGAAATTGATATGGGTGAATTGAATATCATAACAAAAGTTGTTATAAGTGGATTACTTGCTGAAGGTGGAGTAAGTATTTGTTTTTCAATAGAGAAAAATAAAACACTTTTTCTCCCCAGTAATTATACAAATTAATAGTAATAATAGTGAGTTTCTTTTATCCCAGTTCTAGTTTATGGTACTCTTCAGAAATACATATGATAGACAAACGATCGTGAATTGTTCTTTATGAAAATATGATTTGATGATGTTGAGTGTTAGCAGTGTAAAAGTTGTTTACTTTCTAGATCTGTTAGAGTAGTTGTAAACTATTTTGGAAATGTATTTAACATACTACAATCGACATTATATTAATGGACATAAATTCACTTACTGTTTCAATGATTACGCAATTCACCAAATACAGATTCGTATACTCAGTTTTTAGCCACATACTCTAATTGTGAGGGTTAATGATACTATTCGGCTGCGATGACCTAAGTAAATGGAACTGGACTTGAACTTACAACCTAGTGGTTGAAAGTCGAATACCTTAACATCTAGGCAACCGATTGAGGTATTAAAACTGGTATTTTCTCACCTAATAGTCTTATATCTAAAACAAGAAATCATTACAATTTCAACAACTCGAAATAAGAACACGGAAGACTGGTGGGATAAAAATTTGTTGACTTCATAAACATAACGACGAAGTTAAAACAAATACATTCATTTATTTACTCATTTTACATAAAATTGATTAGTTAATAATCAACAAATAAATGTAAAGACACACAGGTCTACTGTAAACACAAATAAGGTTATCAGAATAGGGAGTTGTGGTGATTTTAGTAATTAGATAGTTGAATTCATGAGTCGATTAAAGCTAGACCGCCATTGAAAGCCCGGAAGCACTGAGCGGCCGTCTCATCCTAGTATAAGACTCCTCAGCAGTGCTCATCCACGATCCCACACTTGGAACTCGAACCCAGGGCCAAACTACTAGTGATTAGCTTCAAGACGGATTTTCTAGAGCTCTAGTGAGAAGTTGTCAGTGGACTCCGATCCGTGTTGGTTGTAGACTTTTATTCACTTCAGATAATATATAAGGAGTTGTGCATAATGATAGGTCGATTGGAGTTAGACATTAACACAGTTGGACACCGGTTCAGTGGTCTAGAGGTTGAGCGTTCACACGCGAGACTGATAAGTCCTGGTTTGGAGTCCCATGTGTGGGGTCGTGGATGCGCACTGTTGAGAAGTCCCATACTAGAACGAACCTCCCGTCCAGTGCTTTCAGGTTTGCAATGGTGATCTAGCTTTAATCGATTAATTAATTCAACTGCTAAAATAAATAAAGTTTGCAGAGAGTAATATCAAGATTATAATCGTTACATTAGGCAAAGTTCATGCTTGTCATATTGAACAAAAATCTACACTTAATTAATACGAAATATATTGACCTGAAATAAAAGTATATGAAAAATATGAATTCAATATCGTATTGAATAAAATGTTACTCTGAGGATCAAATCAATATCAAATCTCACACTAAATATCATCTAGTGTTATACACTGAATAAAATGTCACGTTGACAATAAAATGATGACCAAATGTCAAATTAGAAATAAAAACTAATATCATGATTGGTTACACTGGGTTAAAGAGAAAAAGGTGTGAACTTGTTTATTTATGCTGATTTATCGACAGACAGTGGTGAGTTATATGTTATGAAATACAACACCGCGAACACCAACACAATCACACTTGATGTAGAAACTCTGGAACAGGTGGAAACTTTTACGTGCCTGGAAAGCATCATCGATGAACAAGGTGGATCCGATGCATACTTAAAGACAAGGACTGGTAAAGAAAAGACAACATTCCTACAGTTGAAGAACATATGTAACTCAAAACAACTGTCAGCCAACATCAAATTGAGAATTTTCAATGCGAACGTGAAGACAGTCCTGCTGTACGGAGCTGGAACTTAGGGAATTACCACAACCATCAAAAGTATACAAGTATTTATCAACAATTGTCTACGTAAGATACTCAATGTCCATTGGCCGGATACTACCAACAACACTCTACTGTGGGTGAGAACAAACCATATTAGGAAAAGACTATCTAGTTGGATAGGACAGAGATTGCGGAAATCACCAAACTCCACCATGAGGTAAGCTCTAACTTGGGATCCTGAAGGGGAACGGAAAATAGGAAGACCGAAGAACACAGTACGTCGGGAATTGGAAGCAGATATGAAAGGGTTGACTGGCAACTGGAAAGGATTTCCCAGGACAGAGTTAAATAGAGAATGATGGTGTGCAGCCTATGCTTCTCCACGCAGTGTAACAGGAGTAGGTAAATAAGTAAGAGTTATGCGATAAACTTTCCTTTCTTATGTATTTAAGTCAAAAGTAATTGATAGAATGCTAGTTTTATAGATTTTGTTTTTTAGTAGATAAAATTAAAAAGTACATTTATTTTGTGAAATATTTTTTTAGGGAAGCCGTTATACACCGTATTTCTATATTCGATATAAAAGAGAAATTAATGAAGAGAATTGGAGAACCTATCGACAACTTCGTCCAACCATTGTGAGTGATGAATATAATTCAAGGAATATTTTTCATAGATTGATCATGTGACCTCGTTTTTTGAAAATGGTTCTCATTTCTTTTTACTTGGAATGATAATAACCAGATAAATGAAAAAAAACCCACACAGTTTCAGGGGTTTTAGAAATTTGTATACAATAAGTCTCATTATCTACATTTGGTTAAACCTGTGTTAAATTTAAGTAGCTAAACTCGTAATCTCATAAATAAATTTAATTCTGGCTGTAAGTTATTTGGAGATATAATTTAATTATTTATCAATCATAAATAATGTAGGATCTAGGCTAGATATGAATCAATCCACGATTTTACACTGTACATCAACACATCAAGATGGAATCGACATAATCTGTAGTTATAGGATAACAGATTTCAGCTATATATCTTGGTTTAGGTAGATTATATATATTAGCCACTCTTTTATACAGTTTGTAATGCTTTCAAAGATATCGAAATTTTTCAGTTCAGTGACGTCAAGTTCTATAATTTTACAGTAACATTTATAGATTTTAAAGGAATTTCGTAGAATCCCTTTCTTGACATTCTTAAAAAAAACTGTTTACTAAGACTTGATGCAAAGACCACCCATAAGTTAAGGCTTTCTGTCTCACTTTTAAACACCATAGTAAGTTAAGTTACATTTGATATGAGTTAATAACTATTATTTATTTAATTGATGTCTATTCCATCTATTCTGTCACACGTGTTATAATGGCTATATCAAAGCGATTCGTACAGGATGTCCATATACCAACTAAGATTGGCGAAGTTTCATCAAAAAATATCAACATTGAGGTAATCTAAACCATTTCAAACCTAATTAAACCTCATACCTGTTGTACCAGGAAGTGGCTAACTCGGCTCAGTAGCTAAGTGGATAACGCGATTGTGTTTGAAATGAAATGTACTGGGTCGGAGTGAACGTCAACTCTGAGATGTAGGTACATCCAGCTGACAAGTCTCAAATAGGACGAACAGTTCGTCCTGGATTCCACTGTTAGCCATATTCCATCTATTCTATATCAAATAATGTTTACGTATGTTTTCTTACACCACATATGCTGAATTTATTCGTAAATTTTCCAAGAAGAAATGAACAGTATTTTTCCTTATATAGTTTATCAACAACAGCATGTAACCTATAGTTAATTGGGTTGATTAAGAAGTTTATCACCGAAAAAAACACAACGATGAATTAGTTTTTCCATTTCTGTCCCTTCATTTATAGTGTCACATGTGTTGTTAAGTTATTACCTTGCTTGATATAGTTTTATATGAAGTTGTTATTGACTACGTCACTGACTACACTGCATATTACGTAGATAAGGGTGGTTCCATTTTCCTTATTTAACTAACTTCAATCAAATAAATCGTTTTTAGTTTGAATTGTTAATTTTTAATAAGTAGGATATATTGCACTGTTTGTTGATAAAAACGTTGACGATTATCATACTGTCTCCAGTTCTAAATGGTTTCTAGGTTTTTATTGATTAATTTCTTAATTTAATCATTGTACCAAGTGATTTGAAATTGTATTTGAGAGTGGACAAATATTTATCCAAGATTCTTTGTTTTTCATCCTGTTCTTCAGACACTCATTTATGACTGGAATATAGATGAGTAGTGGAGACATTATTTGTTTTACTGAGTAGTATTGTGAGGGTCCAAATCATTAGAATTTTGAAATACACCTTATTGTGACAGAGATATTCATTAAATTTAGCAATCTAGTCAGTATCCAACAAACTATATTGTGAATTACATAAGAATTATGTGAATTTTGTTGAGATCCATTGATTCACAGTTATGTATTCCATTTTAATTTGTTATTTATTTATAGATTTCTCGACTTTTGGGCGGTTTAGACGCTTTAGTGCCAAAATTTGTTGTACTTGACCCACCGTTGATAGCTCGATGGATTCGTATCTATCCATATCGTGATACACCAGGCTTTGTATGCATTAGACTTGAAGCATACGGTTGTCGTTTCTCAGGTAATCAAATTTTTCATTAAATAATAGTAACAATCTGTACTGGGTTTTGAGGATTGTTTAGTTTTTATTGAGATCTTGAATCTATGAATGTTAGATCACCATTGAAAACCTGGAAGCACTGGATGGCCGTTTCGTCCTAGTATGGGAATTTTCAGCAGATGCGTCCACGGTCCCGCACGTGGGACTCGAAACCAGGACCTATAGGTCTCACGTGCGAACGCTTAACCTCTAGATCACTGAGCTGACTATCTGCATTTACGCTTACATCTACACGGAACTCAAGATTATTTGATTAAATGGTTCATTCAGTTTCTAAACTTCGAAAGTGTTTGTAACTAGTTAATGCGATGACAATTCTAGGAACCAATAAATAAATAGCAATTATTATTCATATATCAAATAATATAAAACACGACCATATACAGGAGAAGTTACAAAGTATGTGCACAATACAAATACATATAGTCTATTTGTATCTTTCGGTATATTCTCGTATGGCCTCCAAGCGTCTTGCCAACGCCGTGCTTTCAACGCACTGAAAGTCATCACTCCTCCCGACAATTGTCACATCTTCGACTCCACGTTCAGCTACACACTTCTTACAAATATCCTTGTGAGTAGTGTCCAATACAATGGTATTATCACTTATACACGCAATATTGTTTTATTTATTGAGAAGTATGCCTAATTAATCCTTTTTGTTAATAAAAATAAGTTTAAATAGATCAATGATAATGTTGTCTGGTCAAGGATCGAAAATTCTTTCCGATTAAAAAAAGATATTTATTTTAACAAAATTTGACTGAATATGTATGTTTATTTTACTTATATACCTGTACTAATCAATTTAACTTTTCGGTAACCAGATTAAGTTGGTTCATTTAAGTATGTATATTGTGTGTGTGGGTCCAACATGACGTAATCAAATGAATTTAACTGGTCTATAAAAGTCTAATCACATTCGTTAATATACTTTCCTATCATTGCTTGTGCGTATATAACCTAAACAAGAGTTGACTTTAGATGGTAACTAGTAGTGGAACTCAAGACGCACGATTTGTCCTATACGGTACTCGTCAACTGAATGTCAACCGGAGTGAATATGAACTCTGGGACCTAGGCAAATCCAGTTGACGAGTCCCGAATAGAACGAAATGCTATCCTGGATTTTACTGTTAACCGTTCTTGTGATTTAATGCGATATCGAGACAATCCGTACATATGCCAATAAGAGACTGATCAATTTCAGTTCTAAACATCAATGGGAGGATTCAAACAAACAATACAAAAATGAATTAAAAGTTGACTTATGTATGAAGTATTTCCTTCATTTCTTGTTTATTTGTAACTATTTATTTATTTATTTATTTATTTGAACACATAAATATTGGTACAAAGGGGCACTGAATACATATGCGCCGCAAAAATCTCATTTGATTTGTGTGAGGGCTATGATACTGCCCAGGTACCCAAACTTAAGCAGGTAGTTTTCTTAGGGGGCCACACCCCGTGCCTTTGACCCAAAGGCCTAATCCACAAGGCAGTGGAGCATCTTAAGGAGATGCAGTCCCATGGTAGCCGGTGACCGACAATTGGTTCATACGCCATTTGTTCCCTCAGGATACTGGAGCCCATGTGCACCGTCGGTTTGGAATAAGGGTTTTCCAACTCCCCTAGGTGGACTCGCCTTGTCCACCAACCCGGTTAAAGCGTCGGACATTCTCTTTTCGTCCTCTGAATTTCGTAAACAACACCCCTGGTGCGAGAAGGCAGTGAGTAGGAATTCCTTGGCAGTGTTTGTATGCACGTGGCCACTTGAGAGCATTTTGAGAGGGTGAGCGGACTCTCCCCACTCTCGGCCGTACCAGGGCATTTGGGGGCTTATTTGTAACTAACTTGACAATTCACCTATATTGACATTGATGATATATATATTAATCACTGATTATTTATTATTTTTCAAATTCCAATGAAGTACTAATTTCTTTTTTTGTTCTTAATACTTATTATTCCCTTTTGCTAAAGCATAATTGCAAAATGGTATATAAATCAATATGTTTATCTGTTATACATTTCCGTTGTTTGTTTTTTTATACAATCAATTATCTTGACAAGTGAAACATTTTTCAGTATCTCAATAATGTTATTGATTTGATTTTTAAGGTTGATAGATTACAAAAAAGAGATTTGAAATTTATCATATCACTGTTTCTATTTTTTTATTGTTGATGTTTTTATGTTCCCATTTAAGTTATACGATTTAATTGTAAAACTTTCGTTGACGTTTTGAGGAGTATCATCTTCGCTTACTTCATATAGATTTTGAGTTATTCCATAGGCATTAAATCATTTTATCCCATAGGCTTGTTTGTGATTGGTTGTGTTTAACCGGTTTCATGGTTTTTAATAATTGTTTAAAAATCCATATTGAAAAAAGTCAGTCAACCATGCATGGTCGGAGCTCGACCAAATGATATAGGCAGTAGAAATATATGAACGCATGAAAACAGTGAAACCCATAAAGATGATCAGTCACAAATAAAATCATCAGAACTAACACATTTAAAACCTGTGGAATTACTAAAACGCTACACCATATAGGAACTGATAGTGCTATCCAAAGTAACAATAAAAGCTTCCAAGTCAAACTGTCTGACTCAAGTGGTATATTAACACAAAAAGCATCCACCTGAGTTGATAATCTTTGTCATCATATGACGGAATAATATAGTAGTAAGGTCTCTTACTTTGAAGAATTCATTTTTCGTTACGACTTCATCTCCTGAAGACATGAATCACTTACTTATAAACAAATGTAACTAGTCGTTTTCAACCATGTTACTTGTTTATTTATGAGTAGTGTGAATTGCTCCATCTAATTGAAATGAATCTTTAATTTATATTGTTATGAAATTTCTATTTATTTAAATAGATGACCTGGTTGAATATCGAATCCCTGAAGGGAGTCTAGCACATCCTCCTTATCAGGCTGAAACCAATTTATATAAATCTCAAGGATCAGAAGTGTTTAATACTGAGAAATTAAATTCTAGTCAAGCTGGTGGTGGTCTTCCATTTTCAGATACTTGTTATGATGGTCATAGAATTGAACCAGGGAGTCTTTTAGATGGAGGACTTGGTTGTCTTATTGATCTAAATAGTGCTAATCGTGATACAATCCCATCTATACGACAAACTGTTGGTGTTAGTTCAAAAGCAGATAGTTCAATGAATCATCAATTTGTTGGTTGGCATCGTGATCGTTGGAAAAGTTCACAGGATAAAGATAATGATGTTGTTGATATGCTTTTTCGTTTTGCTTCTGTACGTAATTTTACACGACTTCGACTTTATATATCTAATAATTATTTAGAAAAGGTTAGTATACACCCTTATTTATTGTTATATCATAACATTTTTTCTCAGTAGTGTGTACATATTCTTGTCATAAATGAACTTAATTGAAGTAATTTAATAAAATATACAAGTCAGTCAGTCAGCTACAACGTAGGACCAGGCACATATATGCATTGTTCCAAGTTGCCATACCTCGTTAGCACAACAAGATGAACACCGAATTCATAAAATTAGTTAATTTAGTGGTTGTAATATATAAAAGAAAGGTTGTATATAAGGATATAGTACAGGAAGGAAGAGAGATATGAAGCAATTTTAGTCTCAAGGTTTAAGGGAAGATAAAGAGTGTATACACTTACGCCATTGTGGTCGATTCTGAGCCATGTCACCCAAAGTCACCAACCATTGATTACGATAGTCACGCGGACCTCAACCAAGTAGTCTGCATCTGCCAACATGGTTCAGACTAGAAGTTTGTGACTTCAAACTCTGATGCGACGTATTGGTTTGGCCGCCCCTAACTCTCTTCCAATCATCTCCAATACTAGTCAGCATAGCACGTCGTGGTAATCGGTGTTCAGGCATACGTAACACGTGGCCCAGCTACCTCAGTCGATGAAGATTCACAACCTCACCAACTAATTTACCATCATTTCCTAATACCCTGTGTCCAACCTCACTATTACTTACCCGGTTATCCCAGCAGATGCGAGCAATATTTCTAAGGCATCTGTGGTCGAATGCTAGTAACTTACGAATATCTTCTACTCTTAATGGCCATGTTTCATAGTCATAAAGTAGAACAGAGCGAACTGCTGCGCAGTATACTCGCCCCTTAATTGATAGACCGATATCTTGTCTTCGCCATAGGTGACGTAAGTTGGCAAAAGCCAAATGAGCTTCTTGAATTCTTGCAGAGATTTTGTCAGACACCAACCCTTTAGGGCTGATCAGACTTCCAAGATAAGTGAAGTTGTCGACGCGTTTGACTACTTCACTCCCTATCTTTAGTTCAGGTGTTGACACAGGCCAGTCCTTGAGTAACAATTTATAAACTGTTAAATTATTAATAACTGAATTATAATAATTTTTACCCAAGTCAATGAAATGACAGCAATTAATTAATTTTTTCTCTCTTTCCATTAGATTCGTTTACCCAGACGACTAGAAGTCAAATTTAGTGTAGGTGGTGTACATTTCTCTGGTCAGTTGCCTATTTCACGTGAATTCAAATTAGAGAATCGAAGTTTAGGTGTTTTTAGCATTATTTTGGATTTATCTCACAGAATTGGTCAAGTTGTACAATTGAAAGCCTTTTTCGCTGACGATTGGTTGTTGTTCAGTGAAATACGCTTTGAAAGTGGTAAGTTTTATTTCAAACATTTATATTGGTACTTTTATGAAGGTTTTATTTTACTCTAACACTTTAACAGTAATAATAATAATACTGACTTATGTTACAATTGTATTATTTTTCTCATTAAGGTTGAGACTGGCTTAATGTTTCAGGTAATCTATCTGGAAATAATTGAATCATGGCTTCAAACGAGAAAACTCATATTTCAGGTCATAGAACTCAATATCACATTTACAAATTTATACAAAGTTATTTAAATCTTTTGTATTACTAAATTATAGTGTTACTCAGGTATATTAGTATTGCAAGTAACCCCGTAGTGATAAAATCTAAATAAGGTCATTTAATTATAGGTTCTCAATAAGTTTTGATGCTTAGCTATGATACTTTAGGCTTTGGTAGGGTAACACTCAGCGTGTTGACTTAGTAGTAAACGAGTTTCTTGATGCAGTCAAATATGACTGCTAAGAACTAATATTTGGCAAAGATATCGGACTTTTTATTTCTTTTTAAGCGAAATAAAATTATCATGAAATTATGAATAAACGACTTGTACCGATTGGCCGAACAGCAACAGAGCAAATTGTTGCATAAAATTATCCCGGCTACGTACAACACATATAAAGTAGAACAAACATTCTTGTCTCATCGATTTCTAATTCAATCATCTGCTATCCAGCCTCACTGCATAAAAACAACTAGCTAATAAGTGTATACTATCGAAAATTTACTTACAAATGAATGATACATTTATCATATGTTAATTTAAAATTTTCACGATTGAATTCACTAGTCGATCTAAGCTAGATCACCATTGAAAACCTGGAAGCACTGGATGGCCATTGCGTTCTAGTATGGGTCTCCTCAGTAGTGTGCATCCATGGTCCCACTCCTGAAGATTTCCATACTAGGACGAGACGGCCATCCAGTGCTTCCAGGTTTTCATTGGTGATCTAGCTTAGATTGGTTCGTGAATTCAACTGTCGAAACGCAACAGTATCCACAAATCCTCATACGGATAGTTTTGTAAGAATTTTGCAAGGTGTTAATTATTGTACAAATTAATAGGTATCATTTTAATTTGATCTTGATTTCCTTTGTGTTTTACTTCGTTGGAAAAAATCGATTTAATGTCCATTTTAGAAAAGGTTACTACACCGATAAAAATTGATGAGTTGGCTATGTTATCTGAAAAATCCTCCAATCATCAATCTATTAATGAAGAAGAGGATTTGATGAATACAAGTAAGTAGTGAATTAACCATCACCAGTAATATTTCACATAACAGCAAATATTAACATTTTATTCATGTTAAATGATCGGAGATGGTTGACATGATACATTCCTCGACCTAGGTTTCGTGCTAATTGGCTCGAGTCAGAAAGGAAAACTTATAGTCTTGATGGAGCTGATACTTTCTGTGGAATTTTAAGCTCGCGTCACTCAGATTTGCGATTTTGGATATTACCACTGATCTGTTTGGGCAGCGACTGACTTCTTCCTGAAGAACTGAGACATTTAAGTCTTCCTACGCATAGAGCCATTTATCATCTTGAGGAGAACAAGAGCAAAGATTTGAGCATAATATCATGAATTCATTCTCTAGTTGCAACTGAATAATTACTGAGTAGTGACCAATATAATGTTTGTCCAGTCTTTCGGTGCTAATCAAATACTGTTGATCGAGTCTCAATATTTAGCATTTCATCATTGGTCATATTTATAACATTTGGATTGAAGACATACTTTTATCTGATTATTCTCACTCGTTTGTTTTTTTTTCTTTTTAGAGCATGAGTCTGATGCAAATAAAGTGCCGTCCTCAAATGATACCTCTGTATTTGATGATCCAACAACTCGTTTATCAACTGTAGTTATATTAGTACTAGTTCTATTATGTTGTTTCCTTGGTTTATTAGCTGGTGTTGCTTGCTTCTCTGTGACATGGATGCATCGTAAAAGACATGATTTAGAAAGAGAAAAACATCAAGTTCATAAAACATTGTTAATTCGTGGTGAAGATGCTTTAAATGTATGTACAACAACTGGTTTACGTGGTAACGGTGATGTCAATCTTATCGGGAGTGGTGGTGATGGTGGTTATGCAACAGTTAGACCAAATATGTATCCATTTCTGTTATCTGCAGCTAAACCTGAGATAGGAGGTAGTAATGTTGATTTGGTTTTTCTTATTTAATATTTTATATTTTCATGAATTTATTGTGGCTTGAGATACTAATCGATATTACGTGCTATATTGCCTAGTCGGGGTTCTTTTTATCGATTAGCTCACTTATATTGTCAGTAGGACCGGTGACTTGTTTCACGAGTTTACGCACCGATCGACGAACCATAATTAAGGCCTTAGTGCTTGTTGGTCTTCGATTATTAATGTTTTAATCTACCTGGAGGCGTGACCACAGAGCACAAGGGACCAATGCTTGAGGTCTCTCACACATGGCCCTTCCGAGGCTTTGCCTCAGGCGACGGAAGTTTGTGGAGTAAGGTGGAGTGTTCTGTTTTTGAGGTCGACCTTTTCTAACCCTATTGCTTATGTTGTGGGAAGACTTAATCGCTTCTCAAGCTGGGTTGTCTGAGGGAAACAACTTACTGCCATTGCACTCCATTACATCCAGCAGTACGACCTTACTCTCATAACCTAAGTTTGTGCTTTCACCTTACCATTCTGCGACTGACTTCCCGGCATTGCAGGTCCTAAGTGAATAATTACAGAAGACAGTTTATTTTATCTTCTAACAAGATAACACACCTATATTGATAACACTAAACACATGAATAAACATGGTTGTAAGTCGTTTAATAGATAAATGATTCAAGGATATGAGACCTGGTCATTTGCCCTCTGATTGAATTGATACGCAAATATGAGGTTTAATTCTTGTCCATCACATCAGTTGTTATGTGTTATGAATGTAAAAGTTTGTGTTTTAGACTCGTTTAGATAAGAAATATTATGGAGCCAGAGATGCGTTTGATTATTTTGAAGTAAACGGTTTTTCTCCAGAATTTTTATATCATGCTCTTAAACCGTTAATATTACCAAGATATTATGCACCAGAAACTCTTTTCAGCAATTAGCATAAACATAATCATATGAACGATGCCAAAGTGGGGGAGTTTCTGAGCTTTTACGAAGTAAAATAAGTCATGTTTTAAAAAGGGGAGTTCACTCAGTTTCAACTTATGATTTTTACAAAGCCAGTAGTCAGTCTTTTTTTTTACAAGTTCAAGTTATTTTATGATTAAACTTAAACCATTGTCTCTTATTCTTAACCACACTATGTTGAGTCAATCAAACTAGTAGCGACATAGCAACCTGATTGATAGATTTCGACCAGCATTGAAACATTGACTCATTGGAACTACTTGAATGTGATTGTTATATTTACTTTTTTAGTTTCAACTGTTCTACCAAATGGTGGATTACAATCTTATCATCAAATTGTCCTGTCATCAAATACCAGTACAGAATCTCCCAATAGTGTTTCAAATGAAAAAAATCCAAGTCAACAACAAGCACAACTACGTCAGACGTCACAGACAAATGTTGGTATGATTATTGGTCAGCAGTCTAATACAATAGTTAATCGTTTATCTGGTGATACAATTGGTCCAAGTGATGGTGTTACGTCAGAAACTGAAGCATTCTGTGATAATAACAATAATAAACACAATGATGATAATGATGAAACTCATCCACATCATCGTTATAGTTTATCATTATTTAACAATCATCAATACCATCATAATCATCAGATCCGAAAGCAACATTCATCTGTTTTATCCTCGTTATTATGTATATCGAAAATGAAGAAACATCGTCGTAAACAATGTTCAGTAAAAATAAATCATAACAATAGGACTATTTCACAGTTTGATCATACTAATAATATACATGGGAATATTAATTCTAAAGAAATCAACCATATTACTGCTACTACCACTACTACTAATACTACTACTAATAATAGTAATAATAACACAGAACTTTTAAATACTGTAAATAATTTCTCAATAGTTAATCAGTTAGTTAGCAGTCAATCTGGTCATAATTTAGGATTATGTTCAACTGATCTATTAAATGCTCATTTACGAGGACAGGTAAATTAATATTTAAAGAATATTTGTTGTTGTTGGATTTCTTTGCATAACTAACGTTCATTTTCAAAAAATCTTTAAAATTCTAACATAATATGATATTTATCGGTAATAGGGTTTGGGATATGGTTGAGTTTTTATTGAGATCATGAACCGATCAGTGTTAGATCACCATTGGAAACCTGGAAACACCGAACGGCCGTTACATCCTAGTATGGAACTACTCAGCAGTGCTCGTCCACGGCTATGTACGCGAGAATCAAACCCTGGACCTTCAGTCTCGTGCGCGTACGTTTAGTCTCTAGACCACTGAGCCAGCGTCTAACCGTGTTAATATCTGACTTCAATCAATCCGCAATATTGTGCGACCATCTTTCATTGTCTTTGGTTGGTAAGTGCCTCACACCCGACACGGTTGGGCCCCACTGGTCGCAGCTTTCTACTGAAACTCAGAGAATTACTTCTCAAAGCTAGTCACTAGCGAGCACATAGCCACAGTGATTTAGAGGTCAAGCGTTCGCGCGCGAGACTGAAAGTCCCGGGTTTGATTCTCGCGTACGTAGCCGTGGATGCGCACTGCTGAGCAGTCCCATACTAGGATGAAATGGCCGTCTGATGTTTCCAGGTTTCCAATTGTAGTCTAATAGTGATCGGTTCGCGATCTCAAAAATAATACTAATATATTTTCCTAGAAGTCATGAAATTTTCGATACCCTGCATCTTTCATTTTTCATTGAAAGTGTACTTCATTGATCATCTCAGGGACCTGTGACGGACCTTGAAAAAGTAAAAGCAACCGGAATGTGAATAAGTCAACCCAATAAAGGTTAGGTTTAAGACTTGGTGTTAGGAGTTAGGTGTTGGGATTAAAGTGGGTAGATTGACTAGCAGTCACGTTGATGAATAGCTATGCAGGTTTTTCTTTGATTTCAAAATTTAAGATTATTTAAGTTACCTTGGAAACACCATACATCATATTAAAATGTTACATACATTTTAATTCTAGCTGTTTTTTCTATTAACTTGTCACATCAAAACTAATCGCTTCCCCATAGTTAAATTAAGCGTTGTTCAACTTCGTTTTTAATCTATAATAGTCCTTTTATGTTTATCAATTTTAAACAACTTGATAATTAAATATTGTTAGGTTTTATTTATTTCTGACTTGGCTCTTAAAAAGATACAAGATATCCTTCATTGTGTTTTGAATTCCTCACAAAACTCTAAATAGCCACTACCATAAATCTGATTGGTTCGTCATTAAAGCATACGTTCACCCATTTTACTTGTAAGTAGACTAATAACATTCAACTTTTCATACAATTTTGAATAGTTAACATGAAAACTATAACTAATCAATTATATTGTAGTCACTTTCAACAAAATCCTTGCAGTTATCTATCAGAAACCTAAATATGCTGTATTCACGAGTATATATATGCTCATGTTTCTCAACACCATTCAAATCTCATCAATATGAGAAAAATCGTAATAATTGAATCTTATTTTTAGATTTGTTTAAAACCAATGTGTCAAGGATAGTTTGCTTCTTAGAAATGTGTAACTTTAGAGTAGGGATTTCAGAATGACGGACTAACAGAAAGTGACATTGACATCATAGAATAATTTACAACAGTAATTTTAATTCACCTTCTCGTTACATTTCTTTCATCAGATATATTATCGTGAAGTTGATACTGAATTTAATTCAAATGTAACGCCACATGTTCTCAAAACTGTTCAGAAGCAACGTTGATATTATTTTCTTTTTACTGTAGATACCACTGAATTTTGAGGGTTAAAGGAAATCTTTGAAGTTGATATTCCTCCTCAATATTTCCAAATATTTTTAATTGAAATCACGCAAAGCTTTTGATATTTACATATAGTATCTGGGTTTATATTTTATGTTAGTTTAAGTATCAGTTGTCAGTATAAAATATCTTGGCCTATTTCGGTGTCTCTAGGTTTAATTTATTTGAGTAAATTATACTACTTTATTGTTGGTAGTAACATATTTACGAAATGTTAATAAAGAAATTCACTGTAATGCTTTTATCTGATTGGTTTATACGGGCTATTAATTCTCCCAAATATTTTGCATTAAATTTTGTTTGAAATACCAGACTTCTGTACAAGCGGCGAATGGATTACTTCAAATTGATTTGTCCCGAGGTCATCCATCAATGCTAATTAATGGTCGACCATTAATGCGAATTTCAGCTTCATCTAATCCATCTGATGTAACTGATAATTCTTGGCTTTTGCAAACTGGTTATCGTAATAATAATGCAGTTTGTTGTACTTCTTCAATGGGTATGAATTTATTAAATTCAGAACCTGGTGTTTATACAACAGTTAGTGGAGCTGAATCAGATGTAGATAGTAATGGAGCAAGTAAGTAATGATTTATTAGTATAAATAGGTGGAATATTAATTTATTTACTTCATTTATATTTTAATTCTCACAGTGATCATGTGAGTAAGTATTGTATCACTACTATTAATATTAATAAAAACCCTTAATAAAAATTTCTACTTGTTTCTAAAGAACTGGTTATCATAAATAGGAAGTGGTTCAAGAAATAAATATCTGGTCGACTGATGCAATAACACCTCAGTTAGACATTTTAAATGTTTGTAATGTTTTGTCAGTTTGTTAATAGATCATTAGAGTTATCGATGGAGCTATGCTAATTTGACCTGCAGAAATGTTATCCAGTTATTGTCAGGAAATATGAATGAATAATTTACTACAGAAAACAATAGGCTGGTTGAAATTAAAATCAAAGTAGATCCAATATTAAACTTATCAAAATGAATCCATACCATTGTAACTTCAGAGCCCTTATAAGGGCGAAAATAGTTCTTTTAATCTTGAGCACGTCAGTTTAACATTATCACTGTGGGCGCTTTTCATATGGTTGATGGATTGATGCGTTATAAAGACAAACCACTGATTATAATCTCGTAATTGAGCACATCTGTACTTTTTCTAATTGTTTATATAAACTAGTAGTCCTCTACTACATATACCATACATGAATGAGTAATTTTCCATATCGATTAGGTCATAAGGTACGGAGAGGACCTTGAGAGACCGTACTAATAGCTTTGACTATGGCCTGAACCACATCAAGTACGCTTAACGAGTAGCACCTGTTTTAGATACCATCTACATCATGAGCAGGTACTTCTTGTAAGTTATCTTTCACGCTATGTTTCATTCGCTGTAGAGTTGGACAATAAATATTTCTTTTAATCAATTTTTTAGGTATATTAAGTTTTTACTTGGCACTTAATAAGGTACAAGCTATACCTTATTGCATTTTGAATTCTGCTCAAAAATCCCATAGGCTCTGTCATACGTCCAGTTGATTTGTCAGTATAGTAGAGTTTTACCGAACTGTTTTTAAAAGTAAAAGTAGGAAGGTCGAAAGTTTCCCTTTAAGATTTTTCCAAAAGAACATCTCAACGATCAAACAATGAATGGCGAAGTTTAAAAATTTCTCATATATATCTTATGTATTCTTTTTAACTCATCACTTTTCATTTTAAAAGGTACAATGAGTCCAGAGTATGCATCTACAAGTATGTTACATGATTATCCCATACTAGCTGCTACATTGGCTCAATTAAATCAACAACGACTAGCTGCTACTCTAACACCATCTATGAATATTCAACCTAATTTATACCCTTGTTCTAATCCACTTAACATTGGTTCATCATCAAATTGTTCTGTTAATTTCAATATTTTATCAAATCCTCCATTAAATTCCCCATTTAGCAACAATAATAATATCATTAACAATTCCAGTACCTACGGTAATATTAATAGTCATAAGAATAACTTTCTCACATCAATGAATACAATTCAACAACCATTGTTATTCACGAACCTTCATTCAATGCATGATATGATGATGATGTTGACGACGAAGACGACGACAACAGCAACAGCGGCCATAACAACATCACCAGTTACAAAACTATCAAATGGTATACAAAGTTCACAGATTGGACTACTCACTGAAACTCATGGTAATAACAACAGTAACAATTATCGTTACGGTGTTGAAAGTGATATTGTTCAAAATATATTTCAACAGAATAATTGCCAGTCACAAAATCCACAGATATATGATGCTTATAATTTACCGACTCCTTCAGCACCAATTTATTATCCTACCACACACCAGATTATCCCATCCACTATAGGACAATATTTCCCGTGTATTATTACTTCAACACAAACTACTGGATTATCATTTATATCAGCATCATCATCGGGAATAGCACCTCACACAGTGTTATCGCCATCATCGTCTTCAAAGAGTAATGGCAACACTATGAATAATACTGCTACTGCTACCGCTAATAATAATAATAATCCCACATTACTTGGAAGAGGAGGTCATATTAACAATGAGTACAAATCTCCGAAACGGAATGACGTTGTAAACATTGAACAATCACATAAACGATCTGGTGAGTGTGCATTTTATATACTAGCTGTTCACTTTGATTAGTAATAGACGATCAACAGTGAAGTTCTGTTTAACTTGAGTCTTATACTGGTAGATACTGTTGTCTTGAGAAAATTATTGTTTACTCAGTAGTTGGAAACTATTCACTACTCTATACTACGGCAAGATATTTACTACAATACTACAAATAATCCCATACCCTTCTCTTGATATGATTAGTAGTAGTTCCTTCTTTGTGTGACTATTCATCTAGAAAAAAAAGTTTCTGTCTAAACTCAACTTTTATTTAATATTAATTTGAAATTTTCATTGACCATGCAATAAAGAATTCTCATTTTATATATTACTGAATATCATTTGAAATCCACCACTGTAGATCATCGTAAGTGTCAAACTAATTTTGTCATGCCACTTTCTTGTATGCAAACTCTGATCAGTATAAGTTTTGCATGGATGATGATAGATAGGACTAAAAAGAAACCCTTAGCTATGAATTACTCACAATTATGCTGCAGTTTATAATTAACGACAATGATCTCTAATGTATCATTGTGCTCTCTATTTCAAATGGAATGTTCATTTCTTTTAAATATGTTTATTTTTTTATTTTTACAATGGTATCTGGACTTATGAGGTTGGTCTGTATTACAAGGTTACTATATTGTACATGAAATAATCAGTTATAACATTATGAATTGACAAGTTTGGATCTAGATTTCTATTTTTCACTTGGATGTGAATATATTTCTATTAGTCAATTTGTAAAACATGACAATAAGCAGAAGGAGTGTATGTTTTCTGCGAGAAGTTACAAAGAATTTACATTATACATATGTAATGAACGAGAACACAGGTGGAGACAACCAGTTGTCGTTGAATATGTAGTTACAGAATATCTTGGTAAAATATTAGAACCATACATTGAATACTTCCTTTGCAAATTTCCGCCATTTGATCTTCACATTCTTTATGATTCTTCTAGTCCACAATTGCTTCCCACTTTCGTTTTTGTTCTCTTCAACTCGATCTTCTTAGCCTTCTGCTGCCAGGTTTTCCACTTCCTATCGATGTTACATACTACTTATATCTACAGGCATAAGGACGAAACCAGACATAGCCTTCAATCGTTCATTTGCATCTTTTGGTGTGTTTTGCCAACACCATGCTTCTGATGCACTGAAAGTCTTCACAATTGTTGCTACTATGACGCCACATTCCGCTACGCACTACTTACAAACATCCTCGTTAGTAGCGTCCATCACAAATGTAGTTGGAATATGATGAGGGGAAGATATCTAATTTTTCAAAAATTCCTCATCATGTAAACTTAATCATTTTGTATTACGAATGAATTGATGATAATGTTGGTAAACATTTTATTATTATTAAGATGGTTGACACTCAGGAAAGTTATGATTGGGTCATCTAATTAAGAAAGGAAAATCGATTTGTAGCACAAATAACACTTTTTATACTACTGTTTAGTATACATACTACTACTAAGATATTATTCAGAATAAATTCTTATTGTTTTAAATGTTTGTCATATATGTTGACCATCTTACATTTCAGATATGAATAAGTTAGATTTCAATGTTAAATCTTCATTGACAACAAATACTTGTCTATCAAAATCTAATTATCGAGTTTCTAATCATAATCCATGGATTAAAGTATCAAATTCAAATCGTTATGATGAATTGGAACCAGCACAAAGAAGACAACATGATGAAAATTTACTGCCACCAACACCTTCTAGCCCTCCTCCACCTTTACCACGGTCAATAATAACAACAAAGCATCATTAACTAATATATTTGTTCATAATTTTATGGTTGAAAGGGGTAGAATTTGATGTAGTCCTCAGTAATACATACATACATAAATATATCGAGAGTATAAATATAACTATTCATTCATGCATATACACGTTTGTAAATAGAATAAACTAGAATTTCTCCATTAATTTTTTATGCATAATAAGTATACATTCAAATATATGATATTCTATATAATTTAAAGAAAAAATCTTTTGCCTATGTATGTACCCTTACCGGTGGCATGTACATTATTCACTCATTGTCGTCGACGTCGTCGTCGTCGTCGTGTTTTTCTACGTTTCAAGAGTTAAATTTGTCTTTCCACTAGTTCTGTCTATATGTTACTATTTGTGTTAAATAGATACCGTAACGTTTGTTTTCATTTATCCAAATACTTTTTTTTTTCTAAATATTTGGATATGGATTATAACATTGAATCGAAATAATTTCTAGCTTATTTGTATTTCTCTTCTTATATTTCTTATTTTCTGTACATTGAACTAACAAAACAAACTATTGAATCATTATCATTGATTGTTATAAACTTTTAAAGTGTTTACTTTCATTCAGTTAATTTCTGGTTTATTTAGTTCTATGCTATTCTTATTGTATCTAAAATTAAAGTGAGTTAAAGTTGTTTTAAAATTTGTTAGTAGTATTTTTGTTTTGTAATATGATACATAAAGTTTTTAAAAAGTACCATGAAAACATTTAAACTTGGTGGTAATCTTTGCTGATTAACTAGACGATTATTGGTTAAGATGTTCCGTTGAGTCTGTTTACGGATTTAAAAGATAACAAAGGTTGATCAACATTTGCATTCAAACTAGTTAGATGAAATGAACATTGTTTTCTATCTTAAATGAGTATATGTCACTTACATTTCGTTACAATGTTTCGACATTAAACTGATTATAATTGTTTTTTGTTGATGTTTACATTCTAAGTCAAGTTTACTACCTAAAGCTAAGAGTAAAGGCACTGAATACTAAATTGTTAGAAGTAACTATGTAGTAGAACTATTTCTATGACAAGTAAGAGCTTCTTCGTTCACAACTTTACTAATGAAACAACGATTCTGTTTTTTTTCATTTGAAAGATTATGTTTGATATAATATGTATATCCTTTTTTTTTGTCATTCTGATGTTCAAGATGAAATTTGAGATTTTGTAGCCAGTTAACCAAGTTACTTTAACTCTAATCTACGCACTGCATTATTTTCCTTTTTTGATTGTGTGATTCTAGAGTGTAGGAAAGGTAACTATTATTGTACCCATTTATCTATGTGAAGTCAGCTTTTGATGTTTTAGAACAGTTGTGTACATCTGTAAGAGAATACATTTTCCTGGTGTTTGGTAGCTTCTCATATTGCTCATGGTAGGATAAGAGTACATATGAATATTTTACAATTTTCTTGCGTTAAGTAAAATCATTTCTGATGAAAGAGATTTGTGAACATTGTTGAACTTTATAATTTACATTATGGACCATAATTAGTCAGATAACCATTGGAAACCAGGACGTCTTATACACCTGTTCCATATTACCAGATGTCTTAATTATGAACATCAACAACTTCACTGGGGATAATAGGTCTTGCGGCAAACGCTTGACTATTACAACCACTAAGACGAGGCTCAACGGTACAATTCCAATTTTTGTCGAGTTGTATTGTAGCATGATGACCATATGGTAACATCGGTGACAACTATTTAATTCCCGACATGACCAATGTTCCCTTCCGAGTCTCACAACCGGACGAAAGAATTATTCAGTACCTTTCAGCTTTTCAATGTTTTCATGGTTGAAACCATGTAACTAGACCACCATGGAAAACCTGGAAGCACTGGACAGCCGTTTCGTCCTATTGTGGGACTCCTCAGCAATGCGCATCCACGATCCCGCACTCGCGAGATTCGAACCCAGGACCTAACGGTCTCGCTCCAGAGCATTTAACCACTAGATCACTGAGCTAGCCGGCATCCAACGGTGTTAATATCTAACTTCAAACAATCCACGATGTTTGAGCAACAAAAGTGTCGTCCAGTGCTTCCAGGTTTTTCATGGTGGTCTAGCTTCAATTGACTCATGATTTCAATTATATAAAATTACTAAAGTCTCCACAAAACCTTCTTTTGATAATTATTATTTTATCTGATGAAGTTACTAATACAGTTCTGTATGAATTTGATTTGTTAAGAAATACTATAAAAGATAATATCAATATTATTAAGTGTTTAAATCTGTGTACATACATAATCTCTTCTTAGATATATGAAGAATACTTTTCGGAATAAGAACTATTTCAGTGAATTACAGTAATTTGATATAATTTAAATGAAATAAATTAATGTGAATTCATACTTCAATGGTGTTTATAATTATGTTCATTAATGTAACTGATCACTAGGGCAAAATCTAGCTGTTATTTCTGTGAAAAACATGTTTTCAGGTCCATATAGTCTATTGCTTACTGTAAAATTTACATTCTTATGAAAGACTACATGGATTATGGCTTGTTAAATAGTTAATCGACAGAGCTTACTTCATTCAATGGTTTAATCACATATTCTAGGTATATTTATTGTATTCATTTTTAGTTTCAAACATTCTAGGTTACTTTTGTTCAAAGAATTCTATACCATGGTAGATATCATTTTCATAATTAAATGTATAATAATCCCATACTATATTTTCTTTCCATTTTAGAATATTCACCAAATTCTACTTCAGTTTTCATCGTTTCGTAATAACATAACACATTGCGAATGATATCTCCACTATGAACTTAAATTTCACTCAATTGGATATATATATATATATATGCTTATTTTTACTTTACCTGTTTTTTTCCCCAGATGGATTAACCCAGGTTAGCATTTCTGATGTGAAGTAGTAGTAATATATAAAGTCTTCCATTGTTATTTCTTCTACCTCTTATCAATTTATTCCATTTATTCTTTTAACATATATTTGCTTTTGTATTTGGTTGTTTGTTTCCATGAATGAATGTGTATAAAATCATTAAAAATATGTTGTAAGTTTTAAAGAAAAAAAGGGAGAATGGAATAACAATTTACTTGATCGATTTTGTTCACTGATCCTTCATTGATCATTTGGTTAACTTTCAAACTAGAGATATATATGCTAACTTTTCAGATACATATCCTTATATATAATCCTCTGTAAACATTCATATATAAATGCCACAAGCCAGTCTATATTTGTGTTAATGTGTATGTAATAAAGCTGATCATATAAAAAGGATAAACTCCTTCTATTCTTCTTATTATTATTATATATATAATTGTTATATTGCATACATTTGATTATATTCCATTATTATATAAATGGAAAGAAACAAATAAAATTAATTTTTCATTCGAACAGGGTTGTGTTTTTTTTGTGTGACATGTTTATTTATTTATTTATTTTTCTAAATAAAATTTTTTAAAGTTTCTACATACTACTGAAATGTTTGTTAATTGATGTGTATATTAATGAAATTGGTTTATTTATATAAGAACTTTCGTCTAAATTAGAGCGAATAGTTTCATAGTATTTTAGGCGTCGAGTTAATGTAAGACATTAAAATAGGTATAATATTATAATATATTAAATTCATTTAGTATTATATGTTTGAATATTCCCATCGATATGTTAGGACTGCAACTGGTCAGTTTCTAATTGTAATATATTTCCTTGAAAAAGTTTAGACCAGATTGTCAGGCAAAATGTTGGATTTACTTTAAACTCATTCGCTGAGATTTTACAAATATATTATTCCTATTGAATTGATTTATTTGTTAGGAATGGATAAGAAGTTGTCTTAGTGTACTGTGTAATCATAATTCACAGTTTTATATGTAAATATTTCAATATTAAGTTGTCGGAGGTATTTTGCAGCAAGCGCTGCATGATTTGAGTTTCATGTCAGGGTTAAAACTAATGAGCAAGGCGTATCTATAGTCTTGAGGGAAGTGGTGCTGTCTAGTAGATTTGGACTTCACAGTTAAGATGTTAGGAGTGAGCTATTTAGACCATCACTGAATCTCTTATAGAATCGAGATATTTATAATTGGTTGGTTAATATTATTTGAACTTGAGTTTTGTAATAATTTTAAATGGCGTTAATCAATGGTCTGTACACACAATGAGAAATTAACTCGGAACATCACATCCAAACTTATTTCACTTGCTGGACTATTTTAATTTTGCATATTAAGATTTTTGAGATATTTACTATCCAAGTATTACCGATTAATTTAATCATATTGGTTAGTAATATACATCTAGGAAACAAGTTAGCTTGATGTATGGTAAAGCATCACATATAAGACACTCGTTTATAATATAAAAAAACTTATTAGCTGTTATTACTTTCGGCTTTATCTTGTTCAAGCGAATTGTACTCAAGGGTACTAGAATAGTGCAAAAACGTTTTGCAAACTGACGATGGTACAGCTGAAACTAGGAAGCAACTAGTGGTCAGATATCTTGTCTAAAGAAATCTCGGGACTATTTCAGAAACTTCAGCTGGTTTTTACTAACATGCACTACCTGTGGCGTGAGGGAGATATCTGCCAATCAAACCAAAGAACTAGTATTCTGTAACGGAAGATCGTTCTTCCCTGTTTTATGACTGTTAAATATAGCTTTTAAAAATAAATGGTGTTTATAGGTTACGAGCATTTGATGATAGGGGCTTTAAAAACATTGCTCGCGTATGCTACGATCATCGAGTTAGAAACGCTGAGGTTAGATACAAATTACTTGGTAAAGATAGTAATTTGATTCATGAGGTAGTGAATCTTTAATTAAGATGGAACATGTATTGATTATGCTAGACCATCACCTTGCTTTGATAAAGACATTAAAGTCACTTGATTCTTAGATGAAATTCTGTATGAAAAATGCTTGTTTATTCTTAATTCCTTAATGAATGAAGGGAATTCTCCATAAAAACGATAAATTCCTAGTTAAGGTTTATAATTTTATTTTGTTGATATCCAGGACTGAAAATGACTAGTCTCTGTTGTCATGTATGAATCTCAAGCGGATCATTCCAATGTAGCGTCTTATCAGAAGTATTTGTATATTTGATGCGTGGCTAACAAGGTCTTAAATCTTGGCTGAACATCAATACTGCCATGTAGTTGACTAATCCTACTTAAGATAAAACTCTTGTCTGTTATCCATACACACAAGGTATACTGGAACTTATAAACTTTGTTGACAAATAACACTTATTGATGTACTCAGCAACACTTTAAAGCTTACTTATTTTAATGAAACAAACAACTTTTGTGAAACATTTGGTTGTCGCTGCAAATAACCAGACTGTCATTGTCTCAAACGATAAAAATAATTTCGTAAGGTTTATATATTAATAATAATAATCCTGGTCACTATTAATTCAGCTTAATAACTAGTGTTTCTATTTCACTGCAATATAAAAGTGAATCTCTACCTCATTTCACCGACAAGTATTTTACAATCTGGTAAATGAAGCTCATGGTCAGAATCGATTATAATGTCATTAATTATAGGAAAGAAACTTAATACGAGATACTTATGGAAAAATCTAGTTTACAGCCCTTTTTGCAACATACAATTGATAGATAACAACATAAAAGTTTTACAATGGATGGATTGATTTTGTTGTATTTTGTCACTCGATAGACAACGGAAATTTGGTAAAATGTAAATATGGGAAAAGTAAAGAAAACGAAATGAATTGACAAAAAGAAATTAAAAACATAAAAGAGTGTTCAGATGTTTAATTATTTGGGTATTATTCAATTTGATCTGACTCTATCGATAAGTTGTTCTGAGTTAATTCGTTTAACTTACTGATCTAGACAGTGTTGATTCACATTCGCTTAATGTCAACACTCTAATAATCGGAGTTGAGATATGAATAGTCGTAAAAAATACATTTTAAACTGATAACGAAAAGGAACTAAACAGGAGAAACAGCTCAGTATTCAGAAATGGTAAATAGCATATCACCATTCAACTACCAGACAAACAAACAAAGTTTACATTCTTCAATCAATTGTTACTTATTGATAATCATTAAGTTACCATTGATAAGTGTAAGGCTTAGTGACAGTAAAACCGAGTAATTGAAGATGTACATTCTAATAATATGTTCATTAATAATCTGGTTAATGGTTATTATTTAATTTTCAGCTTAGATTATATGAGAAAGAAAATTATAATATCATTACTAGAATAAGAATCTATACATGATACTATAAATAAGAATCATTATGTAAAAGGTCCACATTCATACCTCTATTTGAACTGCCAGGTCAAGAAAGTAACAAACAAACTGATGAAATAATAAGTTATGAACAATGTTAGTAATTCATTCAGTATTTAAAGCAATTAGTCCCTTTGATAAATTTCGATAATGCAATGATAATTAACCTAACCTCTGATAATCTTCGTCTTCTCATTCAGTATTGTTTGTTTGAATCTTCCCATCGATTTGTTAGGACTGCAACTGGTCAGTCTCTAATTGGCATATGTGCATACTGTGCGTATTGCTTCAATATAGCCTTAATTCACAAGCATGGTAAGGAGAGATGGATAGTTTCTAGCAGATTCAAACAAACAATACTGAATGAATTTAAACTTCACCCCATCGCACAAGCAAGTAGCTATCAGGACTCAGTACCTGAGTGCATAACGCGATGGCGTTTGAAGCGAGGGTACTGGGTTTGAGTCCCAGAGTGAACATCAACTCTGAGATGCAGGTACATCCAGCTGATGAGTCGCAAATAGGACGAAACGCGCGTCCTGGATTCCACTGCTAGCCACTATCCATCTCTG